TTTTACTGACTAACCCATGTTCTTACTTGCTTATCACAACAGAGTATACATAAGAGATTCTAAAGTAAGAAGCAATAAGACATCAAGACACATTTGCAATAGAGATCCTCCAATAAGAAGAAAGGGAAAGCTAAATATTGACAAGGAACTAAGAAAGAGGAATGCAAGTGTGTGTGTGTGTGTGTGTGTGTGTGTGTAGATTTACAGGGTGTTTGATGATGGTTGTAACTCTATAGCGAGTATTCATGAAAAGAGCTGATCTTGGAGGGCAAGATACCTAAACTGAGAATGTGTAAAGGCCTGGGCCCTATAGAAACCATGATCTTCTGAGAGATCATCAGACTTTACCCATCTAGCAAATCTCATTTATTGATTCACTGTTTCTTCATTCGCACAGTCAGAGTGCTATCCACGCGCTAGACACTGTTAATATGCTGTAGCCACTGATGAAGCAGAGTGATCTGGTGCTGTCTTGCTCTGGGGGTCACAAGGTGTTCATGAACATCACATAGCTCCTAAAGACTAATGACAGATTTTTATGCTATAACAGTAAGATACAGAGATGTCTTGTTTACTCTGTCATAATCACTTATAATAAGGGGTAAAATGAGTATGTCATCAGATCATATTCTATACTACTGAAATTCAATTTATATACACAGGAAATAGTCATTAAGACTGCAGAAAACTTGCATATAGTGACAAAGTGGGTGTGAAACTGGTTTACTTTGTATAATGGATATCATACTTGTACCAGGCCCTAATATGTTTATGTTTAGTGTCTCTATAAGAACTGTCTGTTTCCTGAGAATATGCGCCATATTGTAAAATATTTTCTGGTTTGTCATACCACTTGGCGTATAATATATGCTCAATAATTTTTCACTGGGTGGAATTGTGTTTATTCTAAATAAGCCAACACTTTGATATTTCTGTTTCACCTATTTCCACACGTTATAATATTTGTCATGGAAATATTTAAAAATTCATTCATCTCTGATTTGAATATGCTATTAGTTTTAGTGAAATCAGAAGTGCAGCAAAACCAAAAACTTTCAGAGAATCATTACTTAAGGTTCCAATTAAAAACATTAAAACCTGGAATAGTTTGCACATGTTATTCATGAAAAATCTCTTTTGAGGAGATAAAAATACATCTCAAAATGAAGCTAAATCATCATCCAGGTAGGCGGTGACTATGGCATTGAAGAAAAAAAATGAGAGTGAATTTAAAGGCTATCAGAGAGAAAAAAGTATGTAAAATATCCAAAGTTTATGAAATTAGAATTTTAAATATCAAGTTTGAATGTGAGTGGGTCACTCTCTTGTTTTAACTCCCATATGATGCCAGGAAGGCTACATGCCCAGAACAGGACAACATGTGGCATCCATTTGATTTTCTGGCCACCATGGAAACCTACCAGCTGTCACCACAGAACGATTAGGTTTAGAAAAATCAAGAAAAGCACATTTCAAAACTGGGAAATTCCATTATTTTATTGACCTCCCCTGTCTTCAAAACTGCCAGTCATGTCTCCTATTTAGTCTTCAAGTTGGAGAACACACTCTAAGTGACAGTGTCAAACCTGAGCTAACTGGAAACCTGGTCATGCAACTTCCCAGGGTCCCAAACTACTAGCACCAAACAGTAGGAGGCTGCTGAAACATCACAGTACTGGTCAAGAACAAAGAAATGTATTTGAGAGAACTCCTTTAAGGAATAATTGAATGACATATATTGATAAGTTAAGACAATCGAATGTAGACTTGCCAGAAGAGGATGAATCCCATTCATAATTCATTATCTATTTGCTTTTTTTATATTTTCCTGAGTGAGAATCACTAAATTGTTGCTAGAAATAAACTCTGTACCATTCAATAAGTAACCATTCCTCTACATAAAAGTGCAAAAATATTTAAATTTGTATTGCTATCCTCATTTAAAAAGTCACTAAATTTTCACAAATGTCACTGCCAAATCTTAGGTACTTTTGACTGAAATGGAGATATTCTTAGTTCTTCTTTCTACTTCATCCTTTCACCCAAGGTCTTTGCCAGATGAGCTTGTAAAAAATCTTATCTTAGGGACCCTTAGGCAGAATACAGATCATGATTTCCTAGCAATGAAGAATAGACTGTAGATCCTCTGAAATGTGTTTCCTGAATTCCCTCACCGACTCTCTGAAATGTTTTTCCTGAATTCCCACAGTGCCACCTGTAATTCTACATGTTAGGTTTTCCTTAATTAATGGTTGAGAAGACATTAATGCTGTAGTCATTAGTGCCTCTTTTAAAAGGAAGTTTACCTCCCAACCCAGATATCATCTTTCCTTCTTATAAAGAGATCCTGGATACACTTTCATCAAAATGACTTTATTTTGGGGGTTTTAAACAAATGACTCTAGTAGTAAATATAAGCCTATCTAACTAACCAGGGAATTTTCAAATATCAATTAAGATATGTTTTTATGTGGCTTCTAGGATACAGAAGTCAGATTATATGATAATAGAAATGTTAAGCAAAGATTTTGTAAGATTACAACTATGCAATGTATGCCACATACATTTTTAAAAGCTATATTATCTTTTTAAAAAATTCTGTTGAAATACCGTTGGTTTATGTCGTGGTTTACGTCATTTAAGCACTTCCTAACAGAATTTCTTTCACCCTGAGCCTTTATATATTTATTATCAGAGCCTTGCTTATTTTCTTCTCTCTAAAGCTGAGTTTTACTCCTGGGTCTGCAGCCCTTGAATAATGGGAGGGATTTTGCACTAGAGAAGCAGTGGAGCAAAGCTTCACGGAGCCAAACTGTGAGAATGAAAACACATCACATTATTTCAATCTTCTCACTTTATTCACTAAGGAAAATTATTTTAAAATACAAGTAAAAAGTAATTAGTATGGAGACCTACACAAGGCAGTTTGAGGTTTGCTTTTTACTTTTACATGTGAAGAAAAAGTCTCCATAAAGTAGCTAAAGCTTTCTAGCCTTATCAAATCCTTCTCTTTGAGTCATTAAATTACTGAAGCCCAGAAAATCAAATTTGGTTTTGGGTTGTTTGATAATATAGTAATGCAGTAAAATGTGATTCACCAATTAGTTCATGTAATTAGAAAATCAAAAACATGTTCAGTGGCTATTGTACACATATAAGTAACATCTGCCATTCTTTATATTCGCTGATTATAGTTATACGTTCAGTTGATGATACTACTCCCAAATATATTATGGAAAGGAACCCACAAATATCTGTGTTTTTAATTCAAATAAATAAATTCTTACGTTCAGTCATTCATTTTCTCCTGCTGTGTTCCTTCATTATTTTCTGTTTTTGCCAAACTCTATTGGTCCTGGCCCTGTAGAGTTTTCAATCTCTAAGAGCTTATGTTTAAATTCTTCTAAGGAAGGGGCCTCCCCGGTGGCGCAGCGGTTGAGCGCTGGGTTGTGAAGCTGCCCGCAGCCTCCGCAGCGCAGTTTCAATCCCCGGCTGCTCCCCGGCCGAGGGTCCCACATGGCACACAGACCTCTCCTGCCACCCGCTGCTCCCCTCAGCAGTGTAGTTCGTCAGTCTGCCTGTTCTGTTCCCCGCTCTGGCTCTGGTGAATTCTCTCACCCTCCCGTGCTTCTGACTGTACCCAGTGCTTGTATAAATAAATAAATCTTAAAAAAAAGTCATTTTATAATTGGAAGTGTAATTCCCATTGTAGCCACACATCCTAATGTTTGTGTTGTATGTTCTACAGTTGTAGTGCATACATTTATTTTTCTACATGTAAGTTAAACAAATCAATTTTGGAAGGAATTATGGTAGTAATAGAGTACAGAGCTATAGCACTGCATTTGGCAAAAAATTGGAAAGAAAAAAATATCCATGTCTTACATATTAATATAGAGTAGGAAAATAAAAATGCTAATTTTTTAGTTAATATTTTTTAAAGTATCTAAATGGAGTAACTTATTTTATTCCTAGACATGCAAATAAACTACTTGCATTTAAGCCTTTTGCAGGGGGATGGGGAGGAGTTAAGCTAAAAGCATTAAGTTACTGAAATAGTTGAAGCAATTATTTTTTATTTTGAGATAGTTTTTGCAGTTAGTAATACCATCAGTAAGCATTATTTTTGCAAGATGTTTCCACATTTTTGGTTTTATTTGACTTATCTCTACTATAGCCTCTCTGAAGTATTTTCTTGCTCAGTGGTTTTGCTGGCAAAGGACTCTGCAGTGGACAAAAATGGGAATTGAATATTTGTTAAATTATTATGAGGCAGTTCTTATGTTCTGTAGGCATATTTGTTGAGTCTAAGGTATATATTATATGTTATAGAGTTATACTTAAATGCTTTCTCTCTAAGTTTAAAGGATTCAAGGATTGTTTGGATAGGTAAAATGGTTTCTCCCTAGGAATCTCAAACATCATCTACTTTGTTCTTTTCTTATTACTGCTGAAGTATATGGACATGGTCATGTGATCGATGGTTTCCAATAAGCAGAGCAAGAAGATAATGGGGCTAAATTATCTAATTTTGAGTCAATTAAAGAAAAGCTATTCTTTGGTTGACATTCTATTGCTACCCTTACTAGTGATTGTTTTTTTCTCCCTTCCTCCCCTACTGATTTTTAATGTCAGATTTTAGTGTTCACTTGTGGAAATTTAAACATATATTAGAATGACTTCTCTTTAATTCTAATATTTTTCCTAGAGGGTTTGTCCTGATTTTAACTCACAATATATTTTTATATCTCCCCCAAGTACAAAACTCTGAAGAACACAATTAGCTTTATTTTTTTATTTTTATTTTGTAGGATCTAACTCACCTATTTTAGAGTAGCTTGGACTATATTTAAGTTGTATAAAGACATGCAGACACTAATACCAAGAAAATGGTTTATTCTAAACTAGAATGAAATCTGACCCCAGGTGTTATTAAAAATTGCTACTATCTTTTCCTCAACATGAATTTAATCATTCTGTATTTTTTTTACCATTTTTAGGTCAATGGAACAGAAATTGAATATGAATTTGAAGAAATTACATTGGAAAGGGTAAGAATAATCCAATAATCCAAAGCCCCAATCTTGCATTACATGTTCTGTGTTCTCTTGGGTTGTTTTGAAATCATGCTTCCAGTGTAGGACATGGAGGAAAGCAGACAATATTTCCAGAATGTTCAGTATGTTAATTGCACTGCCAGAATTGGAGAAATGAATGGAAAAGACAGAAATGTCCAATGAACATGTGAAGTAATGTCTCCCCTATATTTCTCATTATCAGTGGTAGCCATACATTTATACACATCATGAAACATTCTAATTTATGTGATAATAATATTACAATCCTTAGAGCTACCATTATGATGCAATTTTTAAAAAGTGATAGATTTTAAAACCACCCCCATAGAGAAACATAACAACCCTGTAAATTTCTTAAAACATGTTAGTAGGATCTTGGCAAGGTTTTGACTATTTAGGGAAATTCTGTATTACACAGTCTATTATATAAAAGATACATATAGAAAGAGAAGACAGAGACATAGAATTAAAGATATCTCTCAAAACATTAAGAGAAATGCCAAAGACCACCTAGAGAAAATGACCAAAAGGCATTCATCAAAAAGAAAAAGGTCAAACACATGAACACTTGGCAATATATAATGAAAGTAACATGACTAAGCAGTTTTTATCTACTAAGCTGGCAAAAATTTAAAATAAACCTTTATATTCATTATTGTTGGGCTTCCCCGGTGGCGCAGCGGTTGAGCGCTGGGTTGCGAAGCTGCCCGCGGCCTCTGCCGTGCGGGTTCGATCCCCGGCTTCTCCCCGGCCACCGGAGGAGGGTCCCACATGGTGCGCAGACCTCTCCTGCCACCCGCTGCTCCCCTCAGCAGTGTTCTTCGGTCCTTCTGCCTGCTCTGCTCCCCGCTCTGGCTCTGGTGAATTCTCTCACCCTCCCATGCTTCTGACTGTACCCAGTGCTTGTATAAACAAACAAACAAACAAATAAATATATAAATAAAACATGCCTCTATTAAAAAAAAAATTTAAAAAAAAAGTATAATATATTCATTATTGTTTAGTCAGCATGGATATTGGTGCAATACACCCAGGGAAATACTGGCATCTGTAGGGAAAGAAGAAATGGTGCCATTTGCAGAAAATGGAAGTACTCTGGGAGATTATGAAAAGTGAAATGGGTTAGAAACATACAGACATATGTTGCATGATTTTGCCTGTATCGTCAATATAAGGAAAGTAAGCAGATAAGTGGACAAAACAAAATAAACTAGTGGAAGTTGAAAACTGAAATGAGGTAGGGGGTGGGAGCTAGGGCATATAATGGATGGTGGTAGGTGTTTCATTTTGTTGTTTTTTGTTGTGTTAGTTTTTCACTTTGAAAAATAAAAATTAATTTAAAAATAGAAATATGGATCAAAAGCCTTATAATAATCATACTTTTTGAACCAGAAATTGTTCTTGGAGAAATATAAAATTTTACAGGAAATATTAAAATTAGTATTGTTTATCCTTCTGGAGACTGAAAAAGACAAGTGTTTAATTGTACAGTACTATATGTCCATGGATTAGAAAATTATATTAAGTTATATTGTAATTAGATTTCAGAAAAATATTTCATTACAAAGATAGAAGGACTAACTAGATTAGATGATTAAATTTAAAAATCAAGGTTTAAATGGTATTTAAAATATAGTCCAGTATGCACAAATAAAACTATGCATGTATAAAAAATTCATAAATTTATATGTAAAGACAGGAAAAACACCAAAATATTAACAGTGGTTGGTAACTCTCATTAAGACTTTTTTGGTAACTTTTAGTTTCTTCTTATTGTTCATATTTCTTTCCTAAACCTCCCATAATAAACATGTAATATGCTTATAATAAGAAATAAAAAAACAAGTATTTTTCTTGAACTATTATTTGAGTTGAATTTAGACCTAGACCTAAACTTAAATTTATATTTCTTCTTAAGTTTACGCATTATTCACTTTCCCTGAGTTTCTCGCTTTTGGCCTAATTTTTATTACTTTTGAGTTATTCTGAAAGGAGATTTACATTGAAAGTTAAGTGACAGATACTTTCTTGAAAACTTCCATTATGAACTTTAATAACACTTTAATAGCTTGCTAAGTGCAGAAAAGTGGAGCTTATGAAAAATTAGTCCAAGTGAGAGAAAAATAACACTTTTTTCTTTCTAAATCACTTCTTTTCTTTTCAGAACTGTCTATATAACTTGTGGAACATAGTACAAAATAAAATACAAATTTGAGGCCCTTCTTCAAACATTAGTTAAGAGTTAAAAAAATGGCCACAGCAGAATATTGAACCAAGAGCAGGCCTTTGTAAAGTCAGGACTTTTTGACTGCCCAGATCTCCCAGCGATTCCAGCCCTTCTCAGCTCATGCACCTGACACACACATCCATCTTAAAATATAACCCCATTCAGTTATCCTGGTTTAAGAGGTCAAAAAATAATTGCAAGCTTGTATTAGTTTGACGTACAACATTGAGTGGTGGTCTGACAGCTGTGGCTTCTGGTCTAGGTTCTGACATACTTCATGTTCTGTCATATCATCTCACATCTCTCATATACTGCCCTAGGTTTCCTGGTTATAGGTGGTGCTTAAATGTTGCCATATCCATCTGCACCCCTGTGTCCCCCTATAAAAAAACTATATCAAGCATCATCTACTCTGAACACCACCTTCTCTCTGTCTTTATCATTTATTCCGATATGTTTACTCCAAAAGTTCTATAACTTTATTAGTAATCATTAATTTATTTTTTAAAAAAGAATTATTTATTTATGCATACAAGAACTGGGGTACAGGTCAGAGGTGCGGAGGGTAAGAGGATTCACCAGAAACAGAGTGGGAAACAGAACAGGTGGATTGAATGAAATACACTGCTGTGGCCAGCAGCAGGTATGACAGGAGAGGTCTGCTGCATCATGTGGGTAGCTTCCTGGCCTGCCAGGGATTGAACCTGTGCTGCAGTGGCTGCAAATAGCTTCAGAGTGCTAAGACTTAACCCCTTGCACCACCAGGCAGGCATCCATTAAATTTCATCCTATCCCTCCAGTTTCCATATTTTTTTATGCCCTCACTTTCCTCCAAATCTAGCATATTTTCCCTGGCCCATGACTCTAATTATCCTTTTCATACTCAGTCTCTGTCTCTGTCTCTCTCTCTCAATGTCAATTTTTCTCACTCTTCTTCGTGGATAAAATTAATACAGATATGTAATATCTTAAGAAAATGTTGCTTGGCCTTATGTTCCCATTCTATCATAGCTTTGTCAAAAATATAGGAAATTGTCTGTTTCCATTAACTCCACTTTATTACTTTCTCTTCTTATTTTAACCTATTTCAAGTTCCCATCCCAACATTAGCCTAAAACTTTCCTTATCAAAACCATGACAGTTCCATCTTGCTAAATCTAAACATTAGTTCTTGCTCCTCACTTCTCTCACAGTATTTGATGCAGCTGTCACTGACTCATTCCTCAAAGATGTGAATTGCTTGGATCTCCCAGTACAAAACACTCTCCTGTTTACTCACCACTTCACTGGCATCCTTTCCAGTCCCCTTGCTTGCTTTTTCACTAAATCTGGGAGGATAGAAACCCAGTTCACCTAGAAGAGTATCTCAAATCTCAATCTCTCCTCATTTTGTAGGTGATCTCAGCCAGGCCATGCTTTTAAATGCCATCTGTCAACCAGTGATTCCAAATCTGAAGTCATGAGCTCTCTCTCCACTCCAAATGTGTGTAGTCACTAACTATCCAGTTGTCATCTCTGCTGAATATCAAGGTCTCCTAAACTTTGTATAATCCTAACAGAATTCCTGATTTCCCCGTGTTCCCTGTCCTCAGGATCAAAGCTGAAACATTAAACATCTCAACTAATTGCTTCTATCACTTCCTTTCTCAGGCCAAAATCATCAGTTAGGCATCTTGCTTAATTATTCTTTTTGCCTTGGCATTCAGATCAAAGCCTACTGGTAATACAATAAAATTGTATTTCAAGCTCAACCATGTCTTACCACCTGCTATGCTGACTTCTTGTCCAAATTTACATTATCTCATGCCTGAACGATTCTAGCAGTTTGCAATTTTCCCACTCTTTTCCCCCAATTAAAAACACTCATCTACAAAATATAAATCATATTGCACCTTTGTTCTTAGAACTCTTACAGATAATTTCACTCATTAGCATCACTTACAAGGTCATATACAATCTATCCCTGCTTCTCCCTCCAACATGTGCCCTCATCGCTAGCTCCAGTCACACTTTCTTGTCATTCCTCAAAAGACAAAGACAAAAACAAAAATTAAAATAAAATGTTCCCACCTTTAGACTTTTATACATATATAATATCTGCCTGGAAACTCCCCACCTCAGATTTTTATACGACTTCTCTTTCCATCATTTAAATATCTGCTCAAATGTCAACTCCTCAGGAAACACTCCTCGGTCTGCCCCATTTAAGTCAGTAACAACCTCCATCATGCTTTTTTTTTTCCCTTTCCATGACCTTATTATTTTAATTCCATTTACCAATGTCCAAAATTTGTATTATTTACTGATTGTTTATTTTGCTAACATCTCTCAGTCTCCCTAAATATATGCTATGCGCAAATGTATGGTCACTACTATGTTCAATACACCTAGAAGAGTAGCTGAAATGTCTGCATATTTGTCATACTAACACATTATGTCTTTGCTCTCCCTGCAAGTGGAGTGAAGTAAAAGTCTGGATTTGAACTCTGGCTCTCTCACTGGCCCAGTTACTTTGAGCTGAATTCTTAATGTCTCTGTGCTTGAGTTTCCTCATCTCAAAATGAGACTAAATTATTTCTAATTAAATCCTAGGGTCCTTATGATGATTACATGAGTTAGTATGAAAGTCTAGAGCAGTGTGTACACAGTTGTTCTTAATATTTCCTTCATGTTAACATGGTAGTGCTCATCAGTGCTATTTATCAGGATCATTAGGGAATCATTAAAAATAAGCTTTCTGTTCTCA